TTTTGAGGTTATAAGCACCGAGGGGAGGGACTGAGAGATCTGACCCGATCAAGGCTGACGAGTATTTTTTTTTTAATTCTGTGCTGTTGAAAGTCTTTATCAAGTTGTTTGCTTTTTCAATTTAAAGCTCTTAGATGGATGAATATGTAATAATGCCAATGGAGCCATCTTAAGTCCATTCATTTAGAAAAGAATCATTTAAGACAGATGAAAGAAGAGAGATGGTTTGATTGTGTTAATGACTACAGTACCATTAATGAATATGAATTGAAAGTCGTCTAACTTTTCCAGATGACCATATATAGATGTATACACTCAGTTTATACATTATATGTCTAGATTTTAGAATGCTGAATAAATGGCTCTGTAGTCCTATCCTTTCTGTTTTGTCTGATTAGTGTAGGTAGAATTTGTATCAGATGAAGTAGTAAGATAGTTGAAGGAGGTGAATGGTTGATTATTTTACTTAGTCCATGCATGGTTCTTCTCTCAGTCCATTGGATCCAGGTGTCTAGTTGTATCTCGTAGATGAAAATCTGGGTGTTAGGCTTATTTGAGTGAAGCCTTTCCCAGTGTATAACTTATAAGCCTGGCTCACAATCACACTCGCATGAATTATAGAGACTATTTGCCTTCTCCTTGTAGTGTTATTATCTGCCATTTTCCAAGGTCTTTATTTGTCATTCATCACTGTGGAACAAGATGTTAAAATGCTATTTTCATTGAGGATATTACATATTATCTCTGTGTGTGGTTTACACTCTGTGCAGTAGCAATAACAATAAGTAGCATTGTACTTTTTGTGCTGTTTTTTTAGTATTTTCATATCATTCACATTTCTGTCACACACCCTTTGCCACCAGTGACTGAGAAAGAATGGGTTGCTGCATGTAGACATAGTGTTCTCCTTGGAGCTGGTTACCTCCCAGGCATGGATGGTACCTCTCTCCTTGTTTACTAATGAACTGCCTGGTTATTCAATCTCTCCCCAGAAGCTTTGTGTGCTCAAGGGGAGACATCCCTGTCATCCACTGCTCAGCAACAGTTTCCCTTGGCAAGACATTCCTATAACCATGGCCTTCAACCAAATTTTTCCCTGACAAAATTTTCATATTGTCTCCCCATTAGCCAATTTTTTACATGATGAGACCCCAATGTCACCCAGATCTAATGGGTTATAAATGGATGTTGGTATTTCATAAAACTGGCAAAGGTAATCTTCATTGTTCTTTTATCTCTTGTCATTTTGAGTTTCTCAAACCGAATATCTCAGGATCTGCAAAGGATCCAGAACAAATCAGTGGTCTAGCATCTCGAAAGGAGAAACCAGAATTGGGAAATTTTCTCTGGAAATCATGCTTTACCAGTAACTACCTCAAGGTGATACTCTGGCTGAAGGCAGTAGGGCTCCCATGGCTGATCAGTCACAAATGACACTGATAGGTTCCAACCATGGGAAACTTTGGCTTCCCACCACACCTTTAGCTGGGGCATCATCAAATTCTAGGGTTTGATAATATACACCAACAGCAATATAATGAGTTTATACTAGGGGTTTTGAGATGGATTTCCAGTTTGGTTAATATATCTTAATTATATCACTTTCCAGAAATAGTTGTTTTAATATACTGTACAAATTTCAACAAGAACTAGTAATGATTTGAGGATGGTATTTACATACATGTCATGTTTAGATTATTAAGTGTATTTACACATAGTTGGTTCCACAAATGCTTAGTCACAAAGGAGTCAGTTAGTAGTCCTACATATCGTGCCTGTTTACCCTTTTCCTTAATTTTTGGAAATGTTTTATTTTATTATTAACACTATTAGTATTATTAATAACTGTGTAATACTTATAATGTCATTAATAACAATAAAACAATGATATTAATAACATTAGAAAAAAATCCCTAAAACTCAAGGAATGGGGAAATCAGGTGAGGCCATGTTGAGACTAATTGACTCCTTGGTGGCTGAATACTTGTAGAGCCATCTGTGTGTTGATGCATTTTGCAAAACAACACTGCAGTAGACATCACATTTTCCTATCAGAATTAGGTTTGTATATATCTCTCATTAGATTTATGAATATTATAGAATGCTTGATAAATACAACTTTCCTATGTGACTATGTTTTGATGAATGAAAACTTTGTAGCTGCTGAATACATATATTTACATACAAACATTTCATCAAAAATGTTATTATTACTCTTTTTAGATTAATCATCATGGTCTTACCTTTCCTTTTTCACTATATCCAGGTATTCCTCAGAAGTAGCCCAGAAGCATCAACATCTGTCATAGTGTGGCGTAGATACTCAGAGTTCAGACGACTGCACAAGGCTATAGCAGAGCTCCACCACAAACTCAGCCTCCCTGGTCAGCTCCCACCATTCCCCAGGGCAACCATTCTCAATAGGTAATTCATTGATTGTGAGAAGTATGGATTATTTTGTTTTGTTTCTGTAATAGCCTTTGATTGTAGAATGTTTGATATTTATTTTACTTGATTTATTTAGATATGTTTACCCATGTACAGATTTGTAGTGCTATGTATGTATGTGTGTATATATGTGGTATATTATTTTGGTTCTGCATAGAGGGTACTGCATATGTGTTTGTTATAATAATATTCATGTCTGCTGTCTTATCTCTTTCTTCTCTGATGCCCGTTAGAGCCAGAAAACTGGTTACCAAGTAAGTTTTTGAAAGGCTTGTCTGCTATACATGTTGCAGCTATCATTCACATGGTGTTTTCACTGCTGTAACCCCCTTTATTAATCAGTTACATATAAGAAACATCTTTACATTTTTTCCCTGCTCTCCACATGCTAATAAGAGCGGTGTCTGCAATTCCACAGATTCGAAGCAGACGTGGTAGAAACAAGAAGACAGGCAGCTCTGAATCTCCTAAAGTTCATTGGGCAGCACAACCCTCTCTTCACCTCTGAGGCCTTTACAAAGTTCTTCCAGGTAAGTCTTGTGAAGTTTTGAATATCTTTGTGGAGTGTTTCCTCCCATTGCTGAGGAGGAAATTGTCCTCTTGGGCATGGAATTCTGTAATTTGTAAGATAAATTGCCCACCATATCAAGTTGCTCACACAGTGAAATAATGATGTTCTTTATACATACTTCTGTTTGACTCCCCATATACTACAGACCAAGTCACCTGTAATCAGTATGAATTCCATGATCATTAATGTTCCAGAATGAAGAAAGTAGTACACATAAATCACAAGTGGCCATCAGTACAAGAAAGGATTCCAAGGGAAGGTAATTAAAGATTAGAATTTTCTTAATAGAAGATTAAGGACTGCATTTAGAATTCCTGTCATCCAGACTTGCCAATGATAACTAACTTTGAGTAATTATTTATATAGTGAACCAAAATCACAGAAAGTTAAAGATGTTTATAAACAATCACTTTCTGCATGTTAAAGAACTCAAATTTCAGCAGTAGATAATCATCATAAAAAATTATAAAGAGGTAATGCCAAATAATTTATGTCAAATATATAGAGGAAACTGACTGATTAAATATAAATGCTTTTAAATGCTCTATTAACTGCATCTCTCTTTCAACTACATCAGATCAAAGGAGTCAGAGGCTTTGGCTACTACTCTTGGCATACAAGGGTCCTCATCCTTATATTCCCAGTTGAGTGATGGAGAAGATGACTTCAGTCTGTGCTCTAGCTTGGACTCTCCATCAGTCACTACCTCTTTTCCCGATGCTCCTGTGTTTCCTGTCTTTGATGCTGCAACAGATAGGCTAAAAGAAAGTGCTCCACATAGCTCTCAGAGTGAGGCACCTAGCCCTACTGCCACAAATGGTGTTGTTAAGAGAACGGACACAGAGGGAAGCAAAGCTATTCAAAATCACAAAAACGTAGTGCCAAATAAACCAGCTGAGGATAGCCCAAGAGGAATTTCTGACCCTAGTTGGAATGCAGCCAGTGGGGAGGACAGTGTCTTTAGCTTTCCTAGTATGGGTAAGAGTGGAATGGAACACATACCTGGGCAGGGAGAACGACATCCATCTACCTCATCTCTGTCAAGCATATCTTCACAGCCTTTCTGTGTGTATGAGAATCCAGTACACAATTCCCCCAAGCAGCACCAGAAGCCCTATCCAGAGCTAGATGCACAGGAGGCCCATTGTGAGTATCCTGCAGATATATATCCTGCACCAAGAAAGGAAATGGGCCACTCACTGCCACCTCTAGATGTCACCAGAACTGTGAGCAATGCCTCAAGAAAGAATTCTGTACCTCTCACTCCACTCACACCACTAACCAAAACAGTGACTCCGGTTATTCCAAAAGCCAAGATTCCAAGCCCAGAAGATGTTGCCAAAGCTCAGTATATATTTGTTGCAGCAGAGCAGATCTCACAGGCACAGCAGTATGAACAGCAGAAAGACTATAAACAGGCCCTCAATATGTACAAAGAAGGTGTTGGAACACTTCTTCAAGGAGTACAAGGTTAGTAACGGTATCCAATTAATTTAGTCAAAATTCACTTATTCAAGGACCAAATGAGGAAGTGAACTTAAAATGAGTCGTATATTATCATGTTTATTTTGTTTCATTTTATTTTTTATTTTTTAAGATATATTTCTTGCATAGCAGTAATGGCTGTGCCGTCTTTCAAGGTACTGAATTGCATACACATGTTTGTCATATTTGCTAACAGAAAAAGACCAGTATTGTTTTTACTTCTTTTGGTAGTCCTACATGCAGTTAACTCTTATCCATATATTTGCTATTTCTTTTCAAAAAGTAATTCTTCAGGAACCTCATTCTTTTTTTGCTAACAAATACACAAGATTGAAAAAACACAATACTTGTCATATTCAATCCTCTTTCACAAAGACAAAGAAAATCAACACCCTCAGTAAATGTTATCTGTTGTGATTTTATCAGTTGTGACTTTCACCTCCACTTGTGATCTCACTGCTGTTTGCATGAATCACTAGAGGATGAGATGAGTAAA